CCATGGCCCTGTTTGATGACTAACAATTTCCCTCATGTTTTAAATGAGTGTAAACGTTAGTCTGTTCTGAGGATGAATCTGATGTAGGAGGCAGAAAACAATGGGGCTGTTTCACATCATAGAACCCTACACACATACACAAACACGTGTACACACACACACACACAAACAAACACATGTATAAACATACACACACACACCCACACACACATATAAGTAGACAGATCACTTCTTTTGTTTAAAAAGACATTTGCATAGAGTTATAAATGTATATCATTTAAAAATATATTTTGAGCAGCAACGTTGCGTGCTGGCAGGTACTTTTGTCTGGATGAAGCTTCCTAATGGCACAGATCCACAGATGAGTGAACAGTAATCAGAAATCTATCTCTCTCTCTCTTTCTCTCTCTCACACACACACACACTCACACACACTCACACACACACACACACCATATAAAATGGCAGCCCCAGTCTGTAACCATGAGGAGTTGTACGGCTCCTAAAATTATAGCTACTTTTTGTTCATATTTACATATGTATACATCTTTTAAATATAGATAGAATCTAATATCTAAGACAATAGTCCACTGGGTTACAGTAAGAATGAGCACCATGACCATGATGGCAACACTGGCGAGTCTTTCGCTTTTTGAGGCCGGGGGGTTGGGTGGAGTGAGCCGGGCTGTGCTATGCAAGGCTGGGCTGTGCCAGGCCAGGTCAGCTGCTTAGTAATAGAGAGGAGTCCATCTTTGGCCGTTGTACTTCCGTTCCCCACAACTGAAAACAAAAAGGACGTCATAGTGTCAGTACTTTATCAAGCAGGTTTTTCTAAAATGACCATTGTACCACATACTGTATGGATCTACTGAAGCAGCTGAAAAGTCACCTCAGCTCGCCCGTCTGACGTGGTTGCTCTCAGCTGCCTCAAACTCCAAATCTTGGAGCTCCATGGCCTCCACCGTGTCTCCCCTGGACCCTGTCTGGGTGTCAAGCGGCACGTGCGGGTCCTGGAAAGCAGCCTCTGGTACCTCTGGCCCTGAGGGGCAGTAACTGTCCGTTGCAGTGTACCCTGGGTAAGAGGAAGTGGGGGGGCCCTGGTTGGACAAGGGGGCCGGGTGAACGGCAACGGTGACGGAGGCCGACGCTGTTACCGTAGTGATGGGTTGGCAATATGGGGTAGGGTTGGGGTGGTGGTGTGGGAGGTGGTGATTAGGTTGTGGGTTGTGGGAAGAGCGGGCTCTGTGGCCTGCTGAGTGTTCTCTATGGCCGTGTGAGGCGTAATGGCCCCCAGCCTCAGTAGCAGTTTCAAAAGCGTCCATGCGCGGGCGGGCTGGGGGCGGGACCTGCCAGTGCAACTGGCTCTTGGGGTTCCTGCTGCTGTTGCGCTGAGTAGCTCCTGGCTGGGGCCCAGAATCACAACCCTGAGAGGAGACAGACTGAAGAGAAACAATGAGTTGTTTATTTCTGTAATGTCAGAAACGACTACAAATCTGCAGTCAGAGCATCAAACAAGCAGCACGATTTAGGATATTTCCTTACCGAAGACACATAGGCTGGATGGTCAGGCTGTCTCCCTGAGCGCCTGTGCCCTGATCCTGCTCTCCTGTCCTCCTCTGGCCTGCCTGCTCTGCCTCTGCTGGTCTGAAGGTGGTACTGCTGCTCCTCTGCTCGGGTTGCCCCTCTGCGGGAGGGCAGGTTGTAGTTCTGCAGCTCCTGGCTTACGCCGGACACCGTAGTGTTGGAGCTGTACTCCGAGTCGGACGAGTCTGAGGCTGCACCGGAGATAGTGGCCGTGGTGGTGTGGTGAGGACGAACTGAAAAGTGGACCACGTGAGGTGGGGCCTCTGGGGATGGGGTCGGTAACCGGCTACGACCATCGACAGGTGATACCTGAGAGGTGACAAGGAAGAAGGTGAAGAGACTTGAGATGCTTTCAGACATGCAGTGAACTCCAGATAATCTCCTGAAATTCAGCAGGATATTTGAACTCTTACCTCTGGATATGGTCCGAAGTAAGACAGTAGCACTGGGAGAAGTACGAGACCATTCAGGACTCCAAGAACTGTGAGGATGGCCAACACGGCAAAGAAATACCTGCAATAAAACACGAATATGCAAAAAGGGATCAATATGAGAACTAATTTAACTAAATGTAACATATCAGCATGAAACACATGCAAAACAAGAGTTGCTCAGAACAGCACAGAAAAACACAAGATGAGAAACAAAGCAAGCAAGTAAACAAAGAAAATACCTAAGCAAACCACAGGGCTTTAGACGTGGGGAGACATGTGTAAGACCAACCATAACACACATGCCCGAAATAATAGTTCAACAAAGACGCATGGCCACTCCTTAAACACACACACACACAGATGTACCTTGCACGTTTCTAAGTCCCGCTTAAAGAGGGTTAGTTGTAAAGAAGCCGCAGAGAGAAAAGAAAAGGGTAACCATAATTAGCCGGAGCTGGTTAATTCAAAGGCACAGGAAGAAAAAAAGAAAATGCGCGGGGGGG